TTAACTCTAAAATACAACTAATTAACCCCAAATCATAACAGAATTAACCCCCCCCCAGAGTCCCTCGAGCTTTTTATCCCGGTTCCCTCACGATCTTGGGGGTTTGTGTCAGAGGGGGGAACGTTTCTACAGAATTATTCAGTGCTTTGGGGGCTTTTTTGTATATTTTGCTTTTCTGAGGCGTTCTCGGTTCTCTAGTTGATATTTTGAGCTTTTCCCGGGAATTCTGGGGACAGGTTTTGGGCTCTGCTGCCGCCGGGCCGGGGATCAAAGGCTGTAATTTGCTTAAATCCCCCCTTTTTTTTCCCCCTCTCCTGTCTCAGTGCAGGTGATCAGTGCCCCGGGGTAGGGCTGGACAGGGAAGGGGAAGGGGAAGGTGAGGCCAGGGAAATGAAGGAAGAGGTAAAACTAAGAAGGTGAAGGGAAAGTTAAAAAAAAATGAAGGGAGAGGTTAAAAACAAAAAGGGAAAAAGTAACGGCGAAGCTCTGCAGGAAAAAGGTGAAATAAGGCTCTGTTTGGGGTAAGTGGGAATAATTCAGGGAATAATGACCAGGCTTTTCCAGCACCTCCAGCCAGTGTTTCCTGCTGCTGGTCCTGAATTAACTCACTTTGTCCCCTCCCTGTGCAGGTTTCGGGGGGATTTGGGTTCAGTTTCCACTCGGAATGTCCCCGTCGGGGGTGAATTCCCTCTCGCCCCTCCACTCTCAGCTGTTTTCTTCCCAAATCCAGACCCTTTGGGGGTGGAAACGCTGCTGGAAGCAGCCAAGGAGCATCAGGAACTTTCTTTACTCCAAAAGCCGAAATACAGCGGGAATTGGGAGGGCTGGAAGTGGTGGAGAAGGAATTTGGGGAAAAACGTGTTCTTGGGGACGCCGCCGGGCTGGCTCGGCTGCCTCCCGGCAAAGGAGGGACTTGAGGAGCAGAATTAAGGATTTTTAACTCCCAAGAAGCCCAAAGCGGTTTGTTTTGTTTATTTTTAAAGGGGAAAACTGCCCGTGCCGGGAGCTCCGGACGGGGGAATTGTTCCTGTCAGGGTTTTTTTGGGAGAGCTGAGAGCGAGGGCAGCTGTCCGGGGGGATTTCGGTGTCGGGAAAACCTTCACACTCCACGGCCTGGGCTCTTTCTTCCCGGAGCTTGCGCTCGAGGCATTAAACGACCCGGTTTTTTTTAGGAATAACGGTTCTTTTTGCTGCCTGGAAATGCAACTCCTGTCCCTGCAACTCCTTCCCCTGATCGGGGGCCGGGCGAGAGGTGGGGGGGAAAAAAAAACCCTCCTAAAAAATGCTAAAACCCGCAGGGCTGGTGTTCTACACCAAAATACTCATTTTTTTAAGCGCGTTTCTGAGGCATTAACGACGCTGGTGCTCCGGGGGGGGGTCCGTCGGTGTCGTGACCAACAATAAAAAAGTGCCTGTTTGGAGCTCGCCTGGTCGTGTCCTTCCCTCCCACCTCAGGGCTCTGTGACCCATCCCGCCGGTTTTCACCCCAAAACAGCTGCGGGGAGCACACTTACTTCAGTTTGGGATTCAAAAAAAAAAAAGCAAAACACGTTTTTGAGGTCAAACCCCTCCGAGAAAGGTGTTTTTGAGGTCAAACCTCTCCAAAAAGAGGTGGTTTTGAGGGCAAACCCCTCCAAAAGAGGCCTCTTTGAGGTCAAACCTCTCCAAAAAACCAGTCGTTTTGAGGTCAAAACCCTCCGAAAAAGGTGTTTTTGAGGCCGGCCCCCCCTGAAAAAGCAGTCTTTGAAATCGTTTCCCTTGGTTCCTTG